TGAGTGTCCTTTCGGCTTTGGCCCAACCACTTCACTAGCTCTGGAGCTACTTGTCCTTGTCTTCTGCTCTTCCTTAGTAGCATGTTGGACGCCTTCTGACCTGAGGGTCTCATCTTCCAGTGTCATATCTTTTAGCCTTTTGTTTCTGTCCATGGAGTTTTCTTGGCAAAGATACTGGAGTGACTTGACAGTTCCTGCTCCAGGTGGATCGCGTTTAGTCAGAACTCTCCACTATGACCTGTCTTGGGTGTCCCTGCACGGCATACCCCATAGCTTCTCTGAATTACTTAAGCCCCTTTGCCATGACAAGGCAGCAAAGGGGCTTGTCCACTAAAAAATCCCATTCAGGCAACCAGTCTCTGAGGGAAAGCAAGTCTGAAGAGAAAGGTCTTTGCCTGCTTATAGAAGGACAGTAAAGATGGGGCCAATCTAGCCTTCTTTAGGAAGGGGTGCCAAAGTTTGGGAGAAGGGGCTTGTCCACTAAAAAATCCCATTCAGGCAACCAGTCTCTGAGGGAAAGCAAGTCTGAGGAGAAAGGTCTTTGCCTGCTTACAGAAGGACAGTAAAGATGGGGCCAATCTAGCCTTCTTTAGGAAGGAGTGCCAAAGTTTGGGAGCAGCAACAGAAAAGACCCTCTCCTGTGTCCCCCACCAAATGTACCTGTGAAGGTGATGGGACTGAGAAAAAGACCTTTCCTGACTACCTTCACACTCAAACAGGCTCATAGTGGGAGGTGCAGTCCTTGAAATAGCTTGGGACACAAGCTTTATAGGTTAGAACTAGCACTGAATTGTGCCCAGAAATGGATCAGCAGCCAGTGGAGGCACTGTAACAGGGGACTGATTATGTGATCCCTGTACTGCTCCAGTTAGCAATCTGGCTGCCTCATTTTGGACCCACTGAAATTTCAAGGCACATGTATTACTAAAACTAAAATTAAAACCAAAATTAAAATTAAAACTAAAAATCTAAGGCATGTGTCATCTTGGTCAGATCAGACCTCTCCAGGAACAGATGCAGCTGGCACTCCAGTTTTAATTGTGCAAATGCACTTACTCCAAGAAAAATCTGATGGGCCACTACTTCTTGTTAGCTGTCTTGTGAAAGATTAAAGAGGGAAAGACACCCTCCAGAGTTATATCTACAAGTATGCCAACATCAAAACAGTGGACAGATGGTCATGCTAACCACACAGCATGTGCTGATCTTGGTATTAAATCCTGTCAACTGTATAGGCAGAAGTTCCTAGATTAAATCAGACTGATCTTGCAATCATGCTGCTGTTACAAAGAAGTGCTCTAACATATTGTGTTTTAATGTTAATTACCTTCACATTTAAAAGAAGATAAAAATGCTTGAAAGTTACCTCACTAAAACTGTAAGGACCACTTCTTTCCTTATCTGCATTACCAAAATACCATTCTTTTTCACTCTCTCTCTTCATATCAGGTGCAGCTTCAATTACATTGCTCTTAAAAAGAAAGACACAGCAAACCTTATCATTATGTTAAAAAACAACAAATGTTCAAATGTTTCAATCTGAATGTCAAGCATGCTTTCTAGAGGTTGCTCCAAAGAGTGCTATTTTGTCATGGGGAAGGGCAGACGAACACAACTGTCTTGAACAGTTTTGTTAGTAACTACATGCAACTAATGCACAAACACATACATTGAATAGGATCAATTTAAAGTTGATTTCATGTAATCCTAACATGACTAAGTAGCTGTTACATATGAGGGATTATTAGTTTATTCAGTCACCTCTGAATTGTATACTTCAGGACTTAAGAAATCAAAGAGACCATACCTGCAGTGGTACTGTTGCTCTGCTTGTGTGAAGATGGGCCAGAGTGAGGAGATCTACAAGGATTCGAATGCCATTTGAATCCATAAGCTCTTTGACATTTTTCTGCAAACAAAATTATTTTTTTAAATAGTAATTTTGGGCATTTTACAAGTTAATTGTGCAGGCTACACATTGCCACCACCCCCAAGTGAGCTGGGTATTCATTTTACCAACCTCGGAAGGATAGAAGGCTGAGTCAACCTTGAGCCGGCTACCTGCGATTGAACCCCAGGTCATGAGCACAATTTCGGCTGCAGTACAGCAGTTTAACCACTGTGCCACGAGGTTCATTACAAGCATAAATGTTTACAATTTTTTTTTATACTTTTAAGAACCTATAATTTATAAATTATAAAACAAAAACAGTTTGTCAATTTCTGGTTAAGAATACTAATAGCAAGTCAGAAATCGGTTTTTATTATATTAGTTTAAAGTGGTGATGGAAGCTATATAATAAAGGGCTCTGGTTACAAAATCGTATGTGTAGTTTCAATTTATTAATGAATCTAGTCTCAAACCTATTAATTCATATATAATATGCAAATTAACCAAGGCTGCATATTCCTACATTTTAATAATCCATTCATGTAATGTTGATACTTTTGTTTGCTTCTAATATTCAGGGAATAATATATTTTCAGCTATTCTATTCAGCTTTTAAATTCCATAGATTCTCTTTTTATTGTACCTTCTCTATATGTTAATACAAATGGTGATGGATCAAGACTTGTTGGATATTCCTTGAAAAAAACAAAAGGTTTTGTACCAAATGGAAGACTAACAAATAATGGAAAATCAAATGTTGTTTTGAAGAAAACTGATATTTGGGCAATTCCGAACAGAAATACATTAAACTCTTAAAGTTATCACCACCAACGAGACAAAGTAAGCATGATCAATAGCCAGTGATATGGATTTTATAATAACTCAACTGGTATTCCCATAGGGTTTGCATAACTTGCCATAGCTAATTGCAACCAACTGAAGTGCCATGATCCATCTTCGTTATGCATGTGCCTGATATGTGCCCCAGCCCTCTAGCAATTAGTTGCAGTTGGCCATAGTAAGTTACATGGTATTCCCATAGGGTTTGCATACTTGCCATAGCTAATTGCAACCAACTGAAGTGCCATGATCCATCTTCGTTATGCATGTGCCTGATATGTGCCCCAGCCCTCTAGCAATTAGTTGCAGTTGGCCATAGTAAGTTACATAAAGCTTATGTGAACTCTAACCAGATTCTGGCTGCTATATAAAAATATTTCTTTACCAGGGGTGACAGGAAAAAACATTTGTTGCTCTCTCATTTGGATTCTAAACCACTGCCTTCCATGATCCATCTTCGTTATGCATGTGCCTGATATGTGCCCCAGCCCTCTAGCAATTAGTTGCAGTTGGCCATAGTAAGTTACATAAAGCTTATGTGAACTCTAACCAGATTCTGGCTGCTATATAAAAATATTTCTTTACCAGGGGTGACAGGAAAAAACATTTGTTGCTCTCTCATTTGGATTCTAAACCACTGCCTTTATATTCTGTGGTTATGCATGTGCCCGATATGTGCCCCAGCTCTCTAGCAATTAGTTGCAGTTGGCCACAGTAAGTTACATAAAGCTTACGTGAACACTAACCAGATTCTGGCCACTATATAAAATATTTCTTTACCAGGGCTGACAGGAAAAAACATTTGTTGCTCTCATTTGGATTCTAAACCACTGCCTTTATATTCTGTCTGATTTAAGAAGGAAGTAAAAACAAAAACAAAAAATCAGATCGGAATATGAGATCTAACATGCCCTTTTGTATTGCTTCTCATATGTATCTTTTGCAGGCTTTAATGATTTTTAATATATTTGCTTAATTTTAATTGTATTTACAGTGGGACTGTTTTATATGATTCTATTAATTTTTTTAGCCAAATATGATTTAATCTGTTTTTATTCTTTTAAAAGTTTACAAGTCACCTTGAGCACTATCTTTTGTTTTTAATGTATTTGCTTAATTTTAATTGTATTTACGGTGGGGCTGTTTTATATGATTCTATTAATTATTTTTAGCCAAATATGATTTTACCTGTTTTTATACTTTTAAAAGTTTACAAGTCACCTTGAGCACTATCTTTTATTGAAAAGGCAGGATATAAATGTAATAGAAAGCTCAGTGGTTTAGATCTCTGTCTGCAGAGCCAGAGACTGGGAGTTTGATTCTCCACTGTGCCACCTTCAACTTGTGCTAGGGATTCAAAAGCTGGCAAAATCAATTGATACTCTAGTTTGCCTGAGATTCTCCTTTCCAAATTTCTTACTAATTGTACCCATTGCAGGATAATTCCACACTTTTACCTGATCTCCTCATAGGATATACAGCACACACCCCATATTGCACATAACAGCAACTTTATTAACACAAGATATTATCTCCAGTTCTATATCAACAATTATAAGGATAATCTTAATAAAGAAGTCTTCAGGGAAAGAAAGTTTCTATTATCATTCTGAACTGCTAATTGATTGTCATTTATTAAAACTATATTTCTGAAACTAGAATTCTTGAATAAATCACTATCCTTGAGGTGTAGGAATTCTCACCTTGTTAAGAATCAGCTTGTTAAGAAATAATATCAGTCGGTCCCGCTCAAGTCTGTCAGTGCACTACAGAAAAATACAAAGACTTCTTTTTAATAGGAGCAAAAACCTGAAATGTATGCTACATAAAAGTATTATCAGCCCTTTTAATCTGTTGAGATTAATGTCACATTCTACAGCCACACATGGAAATAATGATCCTATAATCCCACATTTTGGGAGCAAATTTAGTAAAAACTAATCATGGAGTCCTTGATGTGGCAATGCTGGAAAGCAATGTGAGCTCAGTATTATTCTCCTGTCACAAGAGGTCTAGACAATGGCTTACTGTTAACAAGAGAGCATGTGGATCAACACTGCTCAAATAATTTCCACTTGCCTTCTGCCAAAGTGGTAACAGCTTAAAAAAAAATTCAGTAGACCTTCAAAACATATGATGCCAGATAACTCTAGCTTATCTGGGGAGAGATGACACAAGGTTCCTGGTTCACACATTACAATAAACAATGCAAGAATAGAAACAGCCACTTTTTTAGCTGCTCCTGAATGCCAGAGGAGCCAAGAGGTGTGTATCATACATTGTATATCATACAGTGTGTATCAGCAAGCTGTTTAAGCACAACTAAGCAACAGCTTCCCTGAAATGGCAGGCAAACCCTTCCCCAGCACAATATATCTGTTCAAAAATTGTAGTAGAGCATGTCATATCTCTTCAATGAAAGAGTCATGAGAGGTGTCTCCCAAATGGACTTCATTTTACCTTCCTTACTGTCCTGCTTCTAAGTTTTGTATAAGCTCTTTTCAAAAATTGATTAATATAGGTGTTTCACTTGATAAATGTTCAGATGGCAGGCATCACTACCATCAAAACAAAAATTGCTGTCATTTTTATACACTGAGGATACCATAGTTTACATGTGTTGGTTGTTCAGGTTAAGTATACATATCTCCACAACTTATGACAATCAGATGTTATGGCCAATACCCTGTTGCTTAACATAGTAAACTACACAAAAGTAGGTCCAATGGATCACTTTTGTGCAGGATCTGATGAGTCACCTCATCCATAAGTTCCATTGATTCAAACGAGTCTACTCTCATTGTGAGTTATTATGGTGAAGTAAGTCATAGTTGGTCCATTTGATTCAATGGAATTTAATAGAGGACCAGATTCACCAAATTCCCACTGGGATTTCTTTAGTATGACGTACTATACTAAACAATAAGATTTTGTCCAATGCCTTTGAGACGCAGCAACAAATGTTACAGTGGATTGGTACAGTTATAGCTGCACTGAAGAAACTCAGAAAACTGCAGCGAAATTAGTTCAAGATAAATGAAATATAGTGGTGCCTCAACTTATGAAC